ATAAAGAGAGTTTGGGTTTGTGCACAGATTATAACAGAAAGGCTCTTATTTAAAGGTTACAAGTACCCAAAGTTTACTTTTTAATTTGTGGCTGAATTTTGACCTCTGATCTGCATTCCACAAGGATCCCAGAACATGTAATCCCTGGGCTACTCAGTATTATTTAACTCAACATTAAAAGTTCTGAATTAATTAGTGCTTTAGGAAGTCCTGTTCACCATGAAAAAAAAAATCTTGATTACTTTAAAATTAATCTCCTGAAATACCTTCTAAAGAACTGGGCCTCCTGTGAATCACTCCATGTAAATTATCTAAGGTTAAAACTGACTTCCCAGTCTCCTTTCCTCCCCAACATTTATAAAACACCAGCAGCAGCTCATGGCTTCCTACGTTAGAGTACCACTCACAGATCTCACCATGCAAGGCTCTGGATGTAACAGCAGCAGCCAAAATCTCTGCCCTGATTAAGTATTTATAGCAATGGGATGAGGAAAAAAGGAACCTCCAGGCTTCAAAGAAACAAATTCCTTTTGTGATTCTAAATTTGTATTATTGCCTTGTTGATTTACAAAGGTGTCACATTGTTTCACAACACAAATGAGAGCAAGTGCTGCTGTAATTAAGTATCTCCAGCAGCGCAGGATCCTGTTCCTGCTGGAGCTTTGTAAGACCAGCAGTGCCACATTCCACATCAATTCCTTCTCACTGATCTTTACACCAACTTCAGGCTGCAATTCCAAGTAGTTTTGCTTTTTGTAATCATACCCAGGTCCAGCAGGGGCTTCTCCCTCACCATGTGCCCCAAAGACTGTACATGGCTAGAAATAAATGATGTTGAATTGATGACTGGAGGGAAAGGGGATTGAATCCTTTCATTAAGCTAAAAGTCAGGGCTATCTAATTATTTGTTGATCATCTGAGCTTTTATCATCAACAGGGCTATGCAAAAGTGATGCCAGACAAGACTTAAGCCCAATATTTATCATCTGGGCACAAAAAAAGTCTTTGATAACAAAAATACAATGGTTCATGGCATCATGTGCCTTAGCCAATTCCCAGGTCTCAAGCTCAATTTTTCATTCTGTTCCATTCCCCATTTCCCAAAGCAGGCTGCAGTTTCACCTCCTTGTGACCAGTTCTCTCACCAATAATGTTGACCAGCATATCCCACTGTCCACCATCATTCGTGGGGTTGGAGAGCAGGAACTGCACCAGTCTCCCTTCCACTGGCTCCTTGTTCTGAGCTGTTTCCACAAAGGCATTTAAAAAGTAGTAACAACGCTCAACCTGAAACACACAGATAAAAAAAAACCTCAACCCTTTCAAGTCTGATATATTATGCATTAATTAATTGCTGAGTATTCAGTTCTTTGCAAGTACAGAACAGATGAAGCAACTTTCTGCTCATCCAATGAAATCCTCATTTTCCCCTCCAGCATTCCAGGGGCTACCCTATGAAATTCTTTGTTAGAGCAAATATTTAGGAGTGACTTCACAGAGAGCTTGATGATAGGGGAAGAGGAAATGGGGAGCAGAAGTTATGCAATGAAGCCTGACCCAAACTAGCACTAGATTTGCTTCATTTCCCTTAGGGGGGAGAAGCAGGCACACAGCTCACCCATCAGGTCACGAGCACAACTGAAACCTCAGAGCTACAGTCATGTTTCCCCTGACCACCAACAAGTAACTTCTGAAATACACAGAAGTCCTGAAAAAAAAAATTCTACTACTCCAAAACATCAACATCTTGACAACTTTCTTCTCAAGTCCCACTTTGCTTGACCACCTGCATTTAAAACACATTTTTAAGGAACTTTTGAAGCTTTTTCTCATAATGCTAAAACAATGCAGGCTGAAAAGTTCTGTCCCAACACTAACACCTGATTGCAGAAGCAATCCTACAACAACCTACACGACTGTACCTTATCCCAGAAAAAGAGATAGGACTGGCTGAACTCAAACTCTTCAATGTTGTATTTCTTCATGAAAGGAAGACGCATTGCGTTGAGGCAGGAAAAGATCCAGCATCTCCCTGAGAGATCAAAGGAACACGAATTAAACTGGAACACCTGAGCTCAGGAGCTGCACAGAGATTTCTTTCACCACGAGATTCATGACACAGTTCTGCCTCGAGCCTTTGGCTGGGCTTCAGCAATGCCAAAAAGCTCTGAAGGTGCTCAGAAATCTTTCATTGCGAGCACATCTCTCAGTCACACCACGCAGAAGGGAAAAGAGGCAAACGCTAAAAGTGTAAGGTGTGTTATTAACTCAGGGGGATGCTGCAGGAACTCGACTTTCCCCCGAAGCCCAGACAAAGGGCTCTGGAGCAGCAGCCTGCAATCAGTGTTAGGAGCCAGCCCCAGCCCTGACCGCCCTTACCGGAGTTCTTCTGGTTGGTGACGGGCTTGCCCTCGGCGGGCACGGCGTGCTGGAACACCTGCACCGTGTCCTGCACCACCTGCCGCTGCAGGCACACCTCCAGCGGGTCGTTGCATGTGGCCACGTTCTGGGCCAGCAGGAACTGCGGCTCGGCCCGCAGCCGCCGCGTGAAGGCGACGGCCTTCTCCGTGCTCAGCCCTGCGGGACAGCGGGGCAGGGTCAGCGCCGGGGCACGGCCACCGGGAACACACACACACACACAGAGCCGCGGTGTGAGGAACGGCGAGGCTCCCGTCCCTGCCCACAGCCCCGGTGAGGTCCCGGAACGCCTCGCTCCCCCCCGGTAATTCCCCCCCGCCCGATGTATTGCTGAGGTATCCGCGAGCCTCCCACCCCGCCGCGGAGTACATCCCGCGGTAAGGGCCGGTAACCCCCTCCCCACGCCGGGAATCTCCGTCCCGCTGCTGAGGTACCGATGAGCTCCCCCCGCCATGGTCAAGATCCCCCCTCCCCGACAGCCGCCCCCCATCGCTGAGGTACGGCTGTACCCCTCACGGCCGGACCCCCGGCCCCCCTCACCGCGGGCGTTCATGGCGGCACCGGCAGCACGATCCCGAGGCGGAAGCGGCTCTTATAGCGCCGGCACCGGAAGCCGGAAGAGGGGCCCGGGGCCGCGGCCGGGGGCGAGGGGGGGAGCGGCGGCGGCGGGAGGGCGGATGGCGAGAGGCGAGGGACACGCTTAGTGCGGGGGAGCGGGTGGGGCGGTCCCTCACAGAGACTCGTCGTTCTGGCACCTCACACTGGTGCCTGGCAGCGATCCCTGACAACGACCCCTCACACGGACCCCTCTCGGCGGCCCCTCGCACCAATCCCCGCACAGGGAGCCCCTCACAGGGAGCCCCTCACAGGGACCCCTCACAAGGACCCCTCACAAGGACCCCTCACATGGACCCCTTACACTGGCCCCTCACAGGGACCCCCTCACAGGGACCCCTTACACTGACTCCTCACAGGGACCCCTCACAGGGACCCCTTACACTGGCCCCTCACAGGGATCCCCTCACAGGGACCCCTTACACCAACCCCTCACAGGGACCCTATCACAGGGACCCCCTCACAGGGACCCCTTACACTGACTCCTCACAGGGACCCCTCACAGGGACCCCCTCACAGGGACCCCTCACACCAACCCCTCACACTGACCCCTTACAGGGACCCTCCACATGGACCCTTCTCACAGGAATCCCTTACACCAACCCCTCACAGGGACCCTATCACAGGGATCCCCTCACAGGGACCCCTTACACCGACCCCTCACAGGAACCCTCTCACAGGGACCCCCTCACAGGAATCCCTTCATATGGACCCCTCACACGGACCCCTTACACCGACCCCTCACAGGGATCCCCTCGCAGGGACCCCTTACACCAGCCCCTCACAGGGACCCTCTCACAGGGACCCCTTACACCAGCCCCTCACAGGGACCCTCTCACAGGGACCCCTTACACCAGCCCCTCACAGGGACCCCTCGCACAGATTGCTCACACCAGCCCCTCACACGGACCCCTCACCAGCCCCTCTTGCCACCCCCTCACAGGGACCCCTCACCCCCACACAGCCCTGGCTCCAGACCCTTCCACGCTGCCTGCAGTCCGTGGCCTCCCCACCCGAGGAGGGGCAGTGCTGGGGGCTGTTTGTGGCACCAGCTCGTGTCAGTGCCAGGGGCACAGGCTGGGCTCTGCAGCGCTGCTGTCACCCTGGGTGAGTGCACCCGTCACCCATCTGGAGCACCCCCATTCCACTGTCCCCAGCTCTATCCGCTCGGTGTCACCCCCTGCGCTGTGGCAGATCAACAGGAGGGTTTGGGACAGCTCTTCACAGCTGGTGGTGCTGAGGCCAAGTGCCCAGGAACATGAGGTGGCACCGCTGTGGCACCTTGAGGGACCTCCTTGAGTCAAAGACATGCTCTGGATCACGCTCCAGATCAAGCTGCTGAATTTTCCTCTTGAGGAACTGCCTGCTCCTCTGAGAAGAGCACTGGTGCTTCACTGTCTCGCATTGATTTACATCATGTAGTGTTTATTGACAGTATTAGTAATGGATTATTCCAACGCATGATGAGGCCTTGCCAGGACCTTGAGAAAAGTGCTTGAGTGGCACATTTGTTGGGGGCAGGGATGGATGGAGATGTTTTCCACCCATCGTGGCACTGGAGCAATCACACTGAAACTTCACTGTGTGTCATCGAGCACCTGGGGCTGCCCCAAGCCCTGGTGAGCCACGGAGACGGGAGGTGCAGCAGCAGTGCTGAGTGCCAGGCAGCTGAGATGCCCACAGGATCTGGGAAGGGGCACAGGGTTGGGTGGCCACCACCCCAACACCCTGTGGAATGGCACTGCAGGACAGAAAGCTGTCAGCCCAACACCTCACTTTATTTGTGAGCATCAGCATCATAATGCAGAAGAGATTGCTCTGTAGACTGATGAACAACCCACATGCCTGACTGCACATGCATTCATTGTTGGAATAAGCAAGGAGGGCAAGAGCTGGCATCATCTCATGCAGCCCACCTGCCTGAATGGTGCTCCAAGGAAAGGTTCCCAGTGACCAGTTCTTTTGGCCTGGCAGGAGAAGCTGAGATGCCCACAGGATCTGGGCAGAGGGTTGGGTGGCCACCACCCCAACACCCTGTGGAATGGCACTGCAGGACAGAAAGCTGTCAGCCCAACACCTCACTTTATTTGTGAGCATCAGCATCATAATGCAGAAGAGATTGCTCTGTAGACTGATGAACAACCCACATGCCTGACTGCACATGCATTCATTGTTGGAATAAGCAAGGAGGGCAAGAGCTGGCATCATCTCATGCAGCCCACCTGCCTGAATGGTGCTCCAAGGAAAGGTTCCCAGTGACCAGTTCTAACAGTTCTGACCCTCTAAGCAGCAGCTTAGAATCAACAGATGCAAAGAACGACTTGTATTTTGAAAAAACATATAAACTTGATCCCAAAAAAACAGTTTCAGTGCTTTATCTCATCATCTCACAGAATGGCTTTGGCTGACCATAGAAATGATGTTTTCTGGGTGTTCTTTACCTGCAGCAAAATGAACAGAAGAAACGAAAAATCACCTCCTAGAAAAAGAAAACACCACAAGTGAGTTGAATTCATCTGGGCTGTGTTCAGCTCCAGAAAGCTGCCAGCAGGATGAGGATATGACGTTAGGGTTTTTTCCCTTCCAGTGGTTACACACAGGGGTAGCCAGAGCCCTGGGATGGCCAGGGAAGGGCAGGATTTGTTTGTGTCCTGTCATGCTCCCAGTGACCCCTCTCTGCTGGGATGTTCACCAGCCAGAGCAAGAGCTGGGTGGGTTTATTATGCTGAGTGAACTTTTTCAGGATCTGCCAATTTTAAAGAAGGAATTCATTTGGAATAAGTGTGAATAAGCAGTCAAATACTTACAGAGCTGTTTCTTTTGGTTTCTTGAAGCACTGAAAATAAAAGAAAAAAGCAGTCCTGTTATCATTCACATTTCCTGGCCGTGGGGATATTGTTACAAATACTGCAAGTACATAAAGCCTTCCACATGAAATATCTAATATTTGATTTATCTACTGGTAATTCTAAAGCAGGAGGTAGTTTGTATCAGTTTTTTAACAGTGAAAAGCAACATTGCAAAATAGAATAGAAAAGGTAGAAAAAACCCCAGGACACTGCAGCAAACAATACTATTTTTTCCTATGAAACTAGAGCTTTCCATACCTTTAAAAATGTATCTCTTCGAGCCACAATTCCAAAAAGTATTGTGATTGTAACCACCACGACAGCAGCAATAACAGCCTCCTTGGGAAAAACAGGTTTTTTATCTGTCAGGAAAGAAGAAATTGGATATATGAGAAATTCCTGCAGTCACATAACCCAGAACATTTCACAGGACTGTGGAAAGACATTTCTTTTCCCACAGCTGCCACTGCTGAATTAACTGTTGCTGTCCCTGCAGTCTACAGACTGACTCTGTGTGTTAGTCCCCTGAAGAGAAAGGAGCTGAGCCTGTATTTTAGTGAACTGAAGCACAACTTCTCTCGCCTTAAGCAGCTCTTTGGACATGACAGAATCCTGTGGTCACAGTAAGATGCTTCCAGCAAGACCTGAGGTGCTTTAAACCACACTTGAGAGTGTCCTGTCAGCGTGGCAAGAGCAGCAGTGGGATGAGCCTGCCCCGGGTCACACTTGCCAAATGCTTTTGAACATCTTGCAGATCCACTTGCCCAGGTAGAGCAGGAGAGGCCCTTCCTGGTGCTGTGGTCCCAGGCACAGGTGCAGGGAGAGCTCCTTGCTCTTGCTGTGCCCTCAGAAATCCATGCAGGAATTTACCACACTCCACTTACCCTTCGTAATATAAATGGATTGCTGACATTATAAAAAAGAACAGAGAGTTGTCTGTAAAGCTCATTATTCAGCAGCAGCCTTGTTACCTTCAACTATGAGGTGGAAATCCCTTGTCCCACTTCCCAGGCGTGATTCCACCACGCAGGTGTAGGTACCATTGTCAGATTTCTGCACTTTGCTGATGGAGAGCTGAAAGACCTCACTGGTCTGGTACAGCTTGTGGCGACTTTGCTGCAGGGTCAGGATCTGGTTGTCCTTTAACCAGACGCTCTGGGCTTGAGGGTTGGATTTGGAGTTGCAGGTCAGAGTAGCATCTTTCTCTTCTTCCACATGGAGGGTCTCCTCTCCACTCAGCTGGGGAGGGACTGTTCACAGGAATGCAGTTCAACGGGTCATTAATAATGCTGCTCATAGAATCACAGAACCATTTAGGTTGGAAAAGGCTTCTCAAATTGAGTCCAGCCATTAACCCAGCACTGCCAGGGCCACCACAAAACCATGTCCCCGTGTGCCACATCTACACATCATTTAAATCCCTGCAGGGATGGTGTCTGCACTGCTGCCCTGGGCAGCCTATGCCTGGACTTGATGACTCTTTCAGTAAAGGAATTTTCCTTAATACCCAATCTAAGCCTCCTCTGGCACAACTTGAGGCTATTTCCTTTTATCACTTTTTGTTTGGGAGAAGAGACTGACTCCACGTTGTGCCAACCTCGCAGAATGCCCACATTTAACACAAAATAAGTTCCCTTCACACATCCCTCATGCTTGTTCAGTGTTCTAACAGATCATAGTACTGCAGCCTTTCCTGATCCCTGGGAATGAGGAGGGCAGCCAGTGGCAAAGACTGTCACTCCAGTATTTCCTCTGCCCTGACTTGTATCCTTGGGAAATAATCTAGGTGGAGGCAGGGACATGTCCCGAGTATCCTTCTTAAGGGCCCACCCACTCCTATAAAAGAGCCCTTAGATCAGCCATAAGCACCACTGTGGGAAGGGAGTGTCTTATCACGTGAGTTATCTCCTCCTAAACGCATTTTTTCTCGGTGAAGACAGCGTTCAAGGGTGCAAAACACCGCCCAGACAGAGCTGCTCAGCCCACGGCTCCATCCCACCCCAGCCATTCCACACAGAAATCCACCACGGCCACTCACACTGCACATCCAGAGTCACAGACACCTGCACAGACTTGTCCCGTGCCAGCCTGCACGTGAAGATGACTCCGTTGTCAGACTCGTTGACCGGGGATATGCAGATGTTGCTGATGTTCACTTTATTGCCATCCTTCAGATCCACTTGCCCCGTTCCGCGGTACCAGAGCAGCTCCTCGGCCTGGCTGCTGTTGTGCACCAGGCACGAGAGGGAGATGGCAGGGCTCAGCCCTGTAGACAGGGTGAAGTCAGCAGCGTGGTTATTTACAGACAGTTCCAAGCCTGCAGAAGAAGGAGGACAAGGACATTTAAGCATCTCAAGCCATACTCTTCCCACAAAAGCTGCCACGCTCACTTCTCCAGGCCTCACCCTTGGAGAAGCGATGAGACTTTCAGGCTTCAATCTAACAGCTGTTTTCAGGTGGAATGTCAGTTTTGAGGCAAGAAGCTGTCTTCATCACAAAGCTCCCTCCACAGTTATTTAAAATACAAATCAGCCTTTTGCAGACCTGTGACATGACAATGTCAGAAGCCAGAACTGACCATCTGACACCCAGCAAAAGGTCATTCCCATCCCATCACCCTCCTGCTGCCAGTCACTGCCGCAGCACCACAGTGCTCACTGCTTGATACTCTGTTTTTCAGTTGGAGCAGGATGCCCTTGGGAGAATAAATGAGTTAATCAGCCCCTGAGCTGTATCCTGGCTGTTGCAGAGCTGCAATTTATCAAAGGTACAAACCTCAGGACATACTAAATGAACAACCAGTATGGGAAATAAATTATTGTAATGGGATGAAACCCACTACTAATGGGATGAAACTCACTACTGCAGCCTGGGCCATAGAATAATGAATAAAAAATATAGCTCAGATTGTAAAGATATTAAGGTCCTCTGAATATAAAGAAGTCTGAAGGTCTCTGTCTGAAGGTGTTCCCAGGTGGCCAAACCTATCACAATTCTCACTGCTTAGAGCAGGTTTGGAAACTGTGGCCTCACCATCCCTGCTGCAATAATGCTGGAAAACACTGACATTTCCCCATTCCCTTCTCTGCTACTCCAAAAGCAGAGGTCAGTTTTCAGACAGTCCTCTGGGGATGACATCCAGAACACCCAAAATCTGGGATGCTGCTGTGCCACATCACCCAGCCCTGGGCAGTTTCAATAATTGGTGTGATGGGGCTTGGACAAAGCCAGAATGGATTTTTCCATTGCTTACCTGTGGCCACACATGCCAAGAAGGAAACAGCAAGGATGGGCACGGCGAGGCTGCGTCTCCGCGCCATCTCGGAGCAGAGCTGGCTCTGTTGGAGAGAGGATCACAGCACTGCTGCCTCTGCCCAGGGCTCGCAGGGGTTAATCCCTGCAGCCATCAGACATCCCGGGGAGAGCCCCCACAGCAGGCACAGGGTCACCAGGGAATAAACAGAGTCCATTGTTGCAGGGCATTTTCCAGTTCAGAGCAGATTCAAGGGGGTTTTATGTCTCTAATCTCCATTACATGAGTTTGTTGTCCCTGATCACCTGTCAGTCTGGGGAACCTGACTCTGGATCAGGTAGCACTGGACTTACCTTGGGAAGAGTCTCTGGAGAGGCTGCTTCTGCTGGGAAGTGCACAGTTCTTTCCCCTCCTTATTTATAGGGTCTGAATTTTAATATTTTATGGTTGTTCAGTAAGAAGTAGGTCTATAAAATGGGTTCAAGGCCTCGTTCAATTCCTGGATTTCTGAGCTCCCACAAGACTAAAGTATTTGCTGGGCTCCACTGGCTGTTTTATGAGACTTTCTGAGGCAATGAGTAACTAATGAGAGAGTTCCTGCATCAGCCATAAATATTTTCAGCCAAAAATAATACCTTTTTTTCCTCAGCTTTCTGTGTGTTCACAGCACTATTTCAAGCCACGGGGATTTTATCCTAGATTATTCTAGAGCAGGAGTAGACTCTGATTTGTCCCTTTCTGCCCAAAGCTCCATGTCCTCCTTTGAGTGGAAAATGAGACAATTCACTGATTCAGACTTTGAACTGGCTGTTGGCAGAGGAGAGAGCAGACACTGTCCTGCTCAGCAGTGTGTACCCCAGGCTGCTCTTGTGCTTAGCTCAGCCCTGGGCACCCCCCAGCACAGAGCAAGGGGGTCTGTCCCAGCTGTCCCCTCTGCTGGGACAGCTGTGCCTGGGCTGTGTGTCCAGGGCACAGCTGAAGCACTTGGCTATGTGCAAATCTGTCTGAGGTTGCTGTTTGCATCTCAGAGGGTGATGGTGACATGGTCACAAAGCACGGGGTCCTCAGAGCTTTCAAACGTGCTGTCACTGCTGCCAGTGTCCTTGCAGGCACATCACTCATCAGGAATGGGCTCAGCAGAGCCATAAAGTGCATTTCATGAGCAGGAGGAGCCTGGGATGTGTCCTTGGTGTTTTCTTGGCCTGTGGACGCCGTGTCCCAGCTCAGTGACACAGAAATGGGCAGGGAGAGCTCCTGCTCTGGGGCTGCTGCCTGCACACAGCACAGGAGCACACAGCACTGCTTATTTGTGGGGCTGTTGCAAACAAGGGTCACCTTTCAGTGTTTCTTAATAGAATTATTTCTGTGTTTATGGGTTCACCCTTAAAACCTACAGGGAATCATTCTTGGTTTAAAAAGTATATGTGTACAAAAGTCCCTTGAAGAGAGAGTTCTCAGTCCCCCTTCTAAAAAATTGTCCTGTCCTTGTAGAATTCAACAAAACATTGGCTTATGATTCAGTACAAATTTTAATCTAAATTCTCTTCCTAGGAGTAAAGTGATCTCTGTGGTTTGGAATTAAGTTGAGTTGAAATAGAGAGGGATTCAAAGGAATGGACTGGGAAATGGTTCATGTGTTCCCACCACAATATGAGCCAAAGGCAGGAAAGTGAAGTCCGTGCTCCCTCTGGTCACTGCACTGCACTGATTGACACTCTGGAGAAGAAGGAGATGGTTTGGAGTAAGTGAGGATACATAGAAGGAAAAGGTGGATTTTGGGAGTATTTCTTTTAATGTAGAAATGACAGTAGGGAAAAAGATTGTCAGACAACAGTGTTCTGGGGGGGCTTTGTTATGATGTGAGACCCAGCACAGCTGGGACCTGGGTCAGATTCTGTTCCAGCAGGTCCATGACAGGCAGTGAGGTGAGCTGAGGTTCATCTGGAGCAAGGACAGTGTCCTCTTTTGCAACGGGCTCAGGATCTGCTGAAGGAAGAGGGACTAGAAAATCAAGGTGTTACCTGGCCACAGGCACTGAAAGGCAGCTGTTTAGATCAGGTAACAATTGCTTTCGCAATGGCTTTTTACACTTTTGTTTTTACACAAGGTGTAATTAATCTTGTGGGTGTCTAATTACTGAGGTCTAGAGTTTGTGGGTTGTATTCTCCACCTTTCCATTACGTTTTGGAGGGACATAAACCTCACGTTCCAGAACGCAGAGCAGCCATTAATGACTCAGACTGGGAGGAACCTCTTCAGGGAGGCAAGAACTCCATAACTCTGCACAGCAAAGGATCCAACCCTCACATTTGAGGTACTCAGATCTGCACTGCCAAGGCTGGATTAGACAGTGTCAGCAATCCACCACACCGGTTCCTGCTTGTCATCCTTATGGCAACGCTGCACCAACAAACCCAGAATAAGACTGTTGTTAAATATGTCTCTGAACAGCCTCAAAGGAATTAATTAATAAGGACCAGTCTATTCCTGCGTGTAATCCAAGCCTTAGAAACCTGAGCAGAGAAGATTTAGAACCTGATAGAGATTGAACAGAAGTTTTATTTTTTTCCATCAGGTCTCTTCAACTCCAACTCCAAACATCCCAGCAGTTCTCAGCAGTTGTTTTGTTCCCAGCAGGTTCCTGATGTCAGTTTGCAGGAGGCACTTGCCACTGTCAAACCAGCCACACTTGCCTGTGGTGGCACCTTGTGTCTGGGAAGCATCCAGAGATCAGAATTTCAGCCGGCAGCCACCCACTCTGGGCCACTGGCCCCTGGACACGAATGCTGGCCCTTTTCCCTGGAAACAAAACTCACCAGGTTCTGTGTGGCTCTCCTCAGTGCCTGCAGGAGCAGGGAGCACAATTCCTAATCCTCCACCCTCTCACTGGCAGATGAGATCTTGATTTACACTCAGCAGTTGTGAGGGTTGATGGTTGCTCCTGGAGTCGGGGGCATGGCAGACGTGTGGAAACCCAGGATTGTATCTATGGTTTTGTCAAGCAAACAAAGGCTGTAATCCTGCTCCAGAAAACATGTTTCTGCAACAGTGCCTGAGGCTCTGCTCTAAGGCTGCTCCTGTATTCCTACTCCTCGTGGTTCCCCACTTCTAATCCCTTCTTAATATGTGGTGCTTCATATTTTGCAACACTTCCATTGTTGGAGGATGACTGTAACACCAAATCCAGTGCCTCTCCTTGCCAGATAACTGGGCTGGAAATTGAGGCTGTCCGGAATGCTGCTTGAACTTACTCAGCACTCCTCTTCCCTCCCACAAAACCCATTTTTCCAATGCTTTTTAAAAACATTATGGAGGTGTGATGTGCCCTGATTTCTTCCAGCCTAGATCCAGCATATTTCTCACCGGTGAGATGGACAGATCACAAGTATTTTTTTTCATAAATTTGTTAGTAAATCTATTTTCTGATGATCTTTATATAAAGGTTCACATGTCATGCCACTGAACACAGAGGAATGATGAGTGAACTTTATCCTTGGGAAGGAGTAAGAATAGTTAAAGAAGCACTAAACCAGTGAATATTGCGACATTTTAAAATAAATTCAAATGGAAAATAGGCATTAATGGAGAAGCAGATCCTGGGATCTGGAATAATGAAGTGGAAGAGAAGCCCTCAGGAAGGTGAGGCTCCAGCACAAGTGTTGGACGTGGATGCCACCTGCTGGGTACCCACCCATGGATGTTGATGGGGAGCAAAGTCACTGGGAGAGCTGGAAACCAGCTGAGATCACCTTGGCAGGAAAGGCAGAAAGTCCTGTAGAAAGCTGAAGCCACACTCATGGCTGGGGAGGATGCTAAACCTGGTGCCTGCTTCATGCTGATGGCAAGTACAGGACATTCCCGAGCAGAATTCCCAGAGCTGCCTCTCTTTCAAGGCTCTGTTCTGCTGTGGCTGCTCTACAGCCTGGACCTCAGATATTTTTGTCTACCTAGGAACTTTCACCACCAGTGGGATTTCTTGGAAGTGCTCTCTGCTGGAAAACCAAGTGGTGATTTGATCTTGTGAAGTGCTGCCAAACAGTATTAGCAGTTTTAACTTCCCTGCTGTGGGGTCATCCCTCGCTCCCTCTGCGAGGAATCTGCAAGGACTGAGCTGCTCCATCTTTCCAGTTCATGGGGGACCATTTGCTGCTGATCTTCAGGAGAAAAATCACATTCCTGCTCCACGTTTGGAAGCCCTCTGGAGTGTGGTGAGGCAAAAGCCCCAGCTCCTGAGTAATCACCTTTCTGAGTGCCACAGCACTGGCACGAGGCAGAGATGAGGAGGAGGAGGAGGAAGAGGAGGGAGAGGAAGAGGAAAGGGAGGAGGAAGAGAAGGAGGAGGCAGATCAGTCCCATACTGTGTATTTGCTCACTCAGGGATGTGCAAGAGCTCTCCTGGGCTGGCCCAAGGAAATGTGAAGAGTTTGTTGTTGCTGGCTGCTGAGCAAATGAGCTGGTGACTCATCAGCCTTTGCCACATGCTGCTTTTACAATTGGCCTGCTGGAGTTCCAGACAACTGGGCTTTTATCAGCTAAAAAGGGAAATGAGCTCAGTTACTCTTGGTAAATCCAGAGCAATCCATTTGTAGACTGAGGACTTAAAGCTATAATGGTGATCACTTCCTAGAGAGCCACATTCTCTCTTGACATTCCTTCTCCTGTTCGGTTTAAGAACATCCTGATGACCAAGGTCTTTTGGCTTTTCCAGTTTAATTTTTTCTGGGGTATCTTTTTGATGGATAACCCTTATTTCCTGCTTGCTCCTCTCCTAATGGTTGTGCAGAAGAGAAAAGCCCCAAGAAAGAGAAGCCAATTTACTGTCCCTTTCCTCGGGGCCCTTCTGATGCTGTACCATGCTTGGATCACTCACAAGTTTGCATCATCTGATCTCTTGCACAAAGGATGCTGGAATGCTGTGAGATGAAAGAGTCATTCCAGTGATGGTTCTCCTGAAAATCGGTTTTATGTGCTAGACTTGGGGCTTTTGTCTCCAACAGGAAATGCCAGAGCTGGGAAGCAGATGTGTACACGAGATGCTACTGGAAAGTTAAACAGGAATTGGCAGGAAACTGCTGTTGGAGATGGACACTTCCACTGTTTTATGGACTGCAAAGTGATGTTTGCAGAGTAAGGTGTCCTGCCTTTAGTCCTTATCATCTCACCTGCCTCACAAAGGCAAATTTGATGGAGGAAACCCCAAAATACTGTCTGTATCTCCTCTGAGGCTCATGCCTGTGCAGTCACAGCCACATGCAATGTAACATCACAGTGTCAGAATGTCTTTAATCCCAGAGGTCCGATCTGAGCGGGCAGCTCGCTCAGGGCTGGAGAAGACAGCGGCACCAGGAGCAACACCTTGTGCCCCGTGAGCCACAGCGTGTCACCTGCCAGGCAAAGGCCACCCGTCCTTCCTGCCCAGCTCCTGCTGTGTGTTCCGGCTTTATCCCTGGACAGGCGGGGCCTTCGTGACCCCTCCAAGGCACCGGGGCATCGCCCGGTGCTGCCGTTCGTGCTCCTGAGCGCACCAGCTCCGTGCCGGGTGATCCGCCTCCTCCGCCGCGGTGAGCGCCGTGCAACAGCCAAGCAGGGGCGTTCGTGAGGAAAAACAGCGAGCGCGAAGAGCGAGAGGCCGCATTGTCCTGAGGGAGGGCAGAACCCGCTGCCCTCGGAACCCCCGGAGCGCCCCGGAGCCCGAGCGGCTCCGCTCCCCTCCGCTCCCGCGGAGCTCCGCGCCCGGGCCGGCCCGGGGCCCGCAGGGGGCGCCGCCTCGCACGGTAACACCCACCCCGTGACGTAACTCCCCAACCGCTTCTCATTGGCCCCTCACCGCCTTGCCCATGCGGCTCCTCCCCCGAGACCGCCGCTGATTGGCCATCGCGGGGACAGGTCCCGCCCCCAGGGCAGCGCCTCCGCCCCCTCGGCCCGGAGCCGGAGCGGCGCCGCGGGGCCGGGGCGTGCGCGGGGCCATGGCGAGCGCGGCGCGGGGGCTGCGGGCGATGCCGCGGCTGCTG